CTCCCTGCTGGCCCAATGGGGTTAGAGCTGTCTGGGCCCCCATCTCTGTCCCCTTACTGCTTCTCTGTGGTCATTTTACAGTACAACTGTCCTTCCCTTTCCATTTTATGAGAAACAGCTACATTCCAGGCACATCTCATTGCCCTGGCACAACTAAACCCTGACATTGCTTTAAGTTATCATAAGAGGAAGCTGCATATCAAATTGGTGGTCTTAGTTCTTATCATGTAAGAAGAGTCCTGGAACAAAGGGACTCAGACAAACTCACATTTCTAAAATATATAGTAAGCTGATAATAGAAATAATACATGTTGGAAGTCTTAGCTGGACTTTTTCAATCTTGCTTCTCCACAGGGCAGTCAGTTATTTATGCCTGCCATTTAATTTACTTGAACATGTAAATAACTGATTGGTGAGTATAATTTGGCATATACTTGTCCAGATGACTTAAAATTGTGGGTGTAGAAATTGATACCATTTCCTGAAAATCTGGCCTCAATGTCTGCAGCAGGGAAAAGTAATTTTTAGTGTGTTTTAGTCCATTAAAGGTAGAAAGGCTATAGTTGTCCAATGCATATGGTGCTAGAGCCTGATCCTGCACCCCATGAGAAGTTAATGGGATTTCTCATGTGACTAAGTGATGCAGGATCATACCCCATTTGATGAAAAATGTATCAGTACTTTTTCCAAATGGTTGGGATTAGAGAACTGTTGGTAGCAAGGAGGGGAGAAAAGCAGAAACCGAGGTACTCCTCTGACATTTCTTACCTTCTGAATAAACAGATTTTCTCATACTGATACTATATAACTAACTTAGTTGTCTTAAAACATTCACCCTGAACTGGTATTAAGGTACAAAGCAATGTAGAATTAATTCCAGTGTGTATAGTAGCTTTGTAGTGTAGTGGTTTTGGTGCTCAGATTAGTGCTGCTTTTCACTCCAGTTTGGACGTAGTTTAAACTGCAGCTTCTTTTCAATTGTATGTACAGTATACTGCATAGGTAACTGAACTGTGTGTGTGTGTACATTATAGGGGAGCTTAGGTTTGGTTCGTAATACTATCCGTGATAAAAATAGTGTCTCAACCCATTTTTGAGAGATGGAATCAGTGGTTTGCTCTGCTCTTAGGAATCCTTCTGAGTGGATAGTCTTTCTGTGAAGAGAGATGAGAGCATTAGGCAGAGCTCCCCACAACAACCTCTATACCTACTCCCAGCACACGGCTTCAGTGGCCTGTTCCCATGTGGAAATTTTATTGCATGGTGACGAGCAAACCCAGAGTGGCTTATTAGCAGAACACATTGGGGGTGTGCATGTGTGAAGTTTTAAAATAGAAAAAAGATCTCTAAATAGATGTATTGTGACTCTGCATGAATATAACAAGGAACATTTTGGAGTAAATTTGAATACAGAATCCCCCCACCCCCATTCTTTCTTGTGTGTCTATTTACATTCATGATACAGTACTGTATTTTTAATTGGATTTTTCTGATTTGACCTATTTGCCCACCACAATGGATGGTCTTCCTCTCTCTTTAAGGTTCCACGTGGAATCTTTTCATATCAGTACGGTGCTTCATTACTAAAATGCATGTCAGAATTTTTATCAGTCAGTGTGTCATTGCTGTAGATATTAACACATGCATCTCGCCATTCTAAAAACAGATTTGACATGCTTATGCAGAATGGGAAATTTATTCATAGAATATTTACAGTAACAAAATAAACTGTTTATAAATGTGCAGGTAACCGCAGCAGGAAGATGCAGATGAAAATGTAAAAGGAAATAATTCAAAACTTGTATTTTACAATACCTGAATTTAAAACTAGTCTACAATAGTATTACATAGACATGCCCATCATTCCATAAAAACCAGTTTTATTTAATCACCGGCTGGTCTCAGCAGTTTGTTTTTGTCTTATTCCCATTTCAGTAAGCTAAAAAACTTGGTTGGGATTTTAAATGTTGTAACATGAGATTAGAGGACGAAAACATGAGTAAAATAGCACTAGATGTTGAGCCTTTTTCATTGCTTCAGAGTACGTCTAGACTGCAGTCAGAGTTGTGATTGCAGCTTCTGAATACATACCCAACCAAGCTAGCTTTAATCAGTCAGTGCGAGTACAGTAGAGCTTAATGGCAATCCTCCCTCCCTGCCACTTCCTCCTAGTGCAAGCCTGCTGACTGCTGGGCTGAGAGCTGTCAATACTCCCACTCACAGACCCCTTGTGTGAAGCTGCTGACTCTAGTGGACTGAAATGGCTCCCCTGCTGTCCTATTTAATCAGTTAACTGGTTAAACTTAACATTTAATGAGTTAACTAATTAAACAGGATTTTACATACTCTAGTTTGCAGTGTATTAAAAAAACAAAGCCACGAATCCTCCCCTTTGAATTACCATACACCTTGAAACAATCTCCAGAGGTGACACATCACCATGGTGATTGTGGGTAGATCATAGCTGTATGGGAACCTGGGGAAAGTAAGTTGTGTGTGTTGGAGACCAGCTCCCTGGCTATTTGAAAGATTCAGCATGTTTTTTCAGCAGTTTGATTATTCATATATCCACATGCATGTCATCTTTTAAAGTAAAATTCACCATCTGTACTAGAGGGTGAAAACAACATGAGCTGAGTTTCTTTGTGTGTTTAGGGGAAATATGTTTGTGTTCAGATATACATTTGTTGACATATTCATGAAGAACTGTTTCATTTATGGTGTGTGTTGAATGAATGGAAAGGATTAATTAGTGATACTAAATGTCAGAAACTCATGCTGACTTCTGTTAGGTTTCTTAAAATGGGGAAACTATATGGTTGACAAACTGACAGATTACACCTACACACAGAGATCAAATTAACATTATTAAAGGTGTGAAAGTCAAGCACTCAAAAGTTAGAAAATGCCAGAATTAAAGTTGCCTGTGCAACTTTAATTTGGCCCCTTTGTGTGTATGCATTATGATAGTTTTTAATTGTATGATCATATACTATTTTTTCCCACAGGCCCTGGGCTTCATTCAATTTATAGTACTTAGTAAATAGCAATTCAATAATTTGTTTTTATCTGGTAGTTCAATGTATAGTCCTCACATGTCTGCCTTACTGTATGCTATTCCTATTCTGTTCTGAAGACAGAATTATTTTCTCCATGGGATTTTTATGGCAGTCATTGATATAATGTGCAAATGCCTCACAAACATTACTTTGTCTTCACAACACACCTCTGAGATTAGGGATGAAAGTGCTGTTCCCCCCCCCCCCCCCTTCCTGTCTCTATCACAGGCAGTAAGTGTGGAGAGCAGGAGACAGCTTAAAAACCAGTTTCCCCAGAACTGTCTCTGCAGGGGAGTAGCAGGGACTGGGTGCAAGCCGGGAATCAGCTGATTCCCAACTTGCACCCAGTCCCAGATGCTGCGCCTCTGCTTTTTAAATATATTTTAAATATATGAAGAGCCTACTGGCTCTTAATCAGAACCAGCTGTCCTGGCTTGCACTGAGTACTTGCTGCCGACAGGTTAACCCTGCTGCAGCTTTGCTTTTTAAATGTATTAAGAACCAACCTATTGATTGATCGAAAATCCACTGACTAGTTGATTAAACTAACATCCCTATGTGAGATGAGGGTGTGGTATCCCCATTTTACAGATGGGGAAGAGGCATAGGGAGATTAAGGTCAAAAGTATTCACTAATTCTGGTGCCCAGTTTGAGACAATTGGGATGAAACATTTTTTTTAGAGTACTTAGCATGATAGAGCAATTTATATGTTTGAAGCACAGCTCCCGTTGACTTTTGTTGCAGTTGTGTCAGCAGTTCTGCAAATCAGACCCGAAGATCTTTAGTCAACTGAAAAGACAAAAATTCTCCCAGGATGTCCTGTTGACACCGGCATGGTTCATCAGCAGGGCAGAACCATTAGATCTACCATGCATACCTCTGCCACTTGAGCTGATGGAATAACTAATAGCAGTAGAAAATTGTTACCCTCTTTGCAGCATAGCACTAGAGAGGGTGAGACACACTTTGCCTGTGGGTATCAGGTATTTGCTCATAGAAGAGGATTGGTCAGGCTCAGGAATCTGGGGTTCCATTCTAGGCTTTGAAAGTCAGTGTTTTTCATTGAGCATAGATTCTTGTACCCATTCCACAGAAGTGACTCTCTTGCCCCATCTCCTTCAACATATCCTTGTACTAGTCCTGTCTGATCCTCACCCTGACTCTTTGATCAAGATCTGTTCTACTCAGTTTGTCAGATTCAGTCTTCTTGCCCAGCAAGTACATCCTGCTTCTCTGGATTCCCAAAACCAGTTCTCTCCACTTTCATGGCTCCTCATCCCATGCTGCTTTCTCCTTTTGCTCTAGTCATGACTCCCTCCCCCTGTGTCTTTGTTGTTTCTTGTTTTCACTGGCTCCCAGGCCCGGTCACCCTCTCTCGGCTCACCATCCAGTTTCTCCCCTGACTTCTTATTCCAGTCTCTTCAGCAATGCCCAATTCTCCAGTACCCTTCAGTTCTTCATCCAATGCGTTGCCCTGTTTTTGTGTCTACATTATATCCTTTCTACATTCATATTGGAGCATCCTTCTCGATGCTGCATTCCAGCAGGAAGGTCTCTAAGAGCAGAGATGGTGTGACTACACTGCTCGCTTCTTATAGCAGCATGTAGAGACCATATACTGCTTTCCTCCGTGCACAGGTATAAATAGAAGTGTTGGCAGTGAGGCACTGCTTAAGTGATTAAAGACATGCCTAAAAGGGGGAATATGTACCCTATGGAGCTTTCTGCACACCCATTCAATCCTGCCTCTGTCTACCGTGCTGTTTTTAGCAGTGTCATGTCCTACTGTCAGAGCAGTTCTCCAATG